AAGTCTGGCTGCGATTGTTTTCAGTCATTTAAAGAGCTTATAAAACAATCCTGTGTTACTTTTGCATTTGTTTATGGCCTGTTCTCATTCAGTAATTTCTTTCATGGCCACACACATTAGTTTTTCTTTGAAGATGAAGCCTCAATTCTATATAATCATACAGTGCCATGGAAGCCACACAAAAATCTCAAGCAGAAGCACCAAGCTTAGATATTCTCATATTTTGTCTAGATACTCAAACACCGTGCCTTTTCAGCAGTTCCATTCCTGTCTATCAGTATCAGGGTACCAGGGGTCCTGACTGCACCAATTGGCCTTGATTGTCCTGACCAACCTCACCTAGGGCCCTCACCCACACACCCAGAAGGCCCATATAACTCAGGCCTGGGCCTTCGGACTCTGCCTGAGCTATGTTGTAGGTAGGTGTACCTGTGTTTTGCTCCATCTCCTTCAGACTCATGTTGTAGCCTTATCTCCAGCTCTGTCTCCTGCTGCTGCTCTGGCTTGGATACCCTGCCCACCCTGCAGATGGATGCCGGATTTGTTCCATCACCTTGCCTGAGACTGTTGATGGACACTGTTATGAGCACCCTGCTCTGTCTGCAATGTTCAGATGCTGTAGGACTGTGGCCTGGTCGGTAACAGTACTGTCTGCACAATGGTATCCTCAGCTTCCAGCTTGTCTCCCCCTGTCGACCAGCTGGCCACTGCTGTTCCCTGGCAATGGGGTCTCAGTAAAAAGTGAGGATTCTCTTGCTCCTCTGATGCTTCCTTGGTTTTTTTTTTTTCCTCCCTCTTCTTTTCTTTTAATACTCTGGTTTGCTTCTTGGGCTTCATTGTTTCAATTCACTTTAAAAAGTGGCATTTTTGTTTTTGTTTTTCTTAACACTATCAATACATAGAACTAACTGTAGCACTTCACAATGCACTATCTTACAGAGCACTTGAATTAATTAAAAGTAGTTAATGTTGAAATTCAAAACAACAAGGAGACAAATAGAGCTATTGTTTTGGGTTATCTTAATTCAGGAGGTCCTCACTGTACCTGCTCTACTCCTTTAGAAATTGTTACCCATAAGGGTGAGATTGTGGAGTACACTGGCTGTTGATATGATAGAAACAAAAGATAGGATTCATCTGCCTTAACTCTGGCATTTAAAAGTTAGATGTCTAAATCTGAGCTAGTTATGACTTCCCTTTATGGTTAATGCAGAGAAATAAATTCAGAGGGCAAGTCATGTCATCATAGGACAGGTGCTTAAGGAAGGTCGGATGAACTGCTGTCCAAAGGTACCCATTTCTTTCAATTGACTATGAAGGGATCCTAGGGCATTTAAATGAGACTTGAGTATCTATTTTTTAGATCTCTAAAGTTGGGTGACATGAACCCTGCTCAGAGGGTTCTCTTCACAAAGATACAGGCATTTAAATGTCTCTTTATTCACCTAAGTCCAACATGGAGATGCTGTGAATATCCGCAAAACCTGTACCTAATATCGTAAGTAGTTAAATTTCTATCATAGCTAACATAGTAATTACCATGTCTTTTTAATCCATGTTAGAAAGTGGCTACTGGTTCCCAGGCCAAGCAGGGGAAAACGGTTTGTGTCCACACTGTCCTAACTCTAGGATCCTATGGAGCAAATCAGATGGGGTACTTTGGAGCATGATAGCTGTTTCTTCATCCTTTGCATCTCCACAACATAACCCTCTCTTTCATTCATTATTCTCTCAGCTCATTTTCTTGAGACTGTATCAGCAAGCTTCCCAAGGGGAAAATACCTGCTAAGCACACCTTCAGCTGCTGTTCTGCATTAGCTGAATACATATACTGTGAACTATGGCTGCAGTTCCTCCTTTTTCTTCTGGAGCTGCTTGACGAGACTGTGACCTAGAATGGAGCAATACTGGGCAGAGAGATGTGGGTACACTGGAGAAAACTGTGTAGAAGATCTGTGATGCCACCTCGCAGATCATGTTTCTCTGCAGAATTCTTATTGTACCTTATGTAAGGGGTTTCACCTGCCAGGAACTGTGCAGTGCAGCAGGTGAGAAGGGAGTAAACGATAAACACATTCTGATACCAAACCATCTACTACCACCTTAGAATTCGATTAAATATGAAGATTATCCTTGCATTATTTTACAGCCATTTACAGACTCCATGGCCTGTTGTGGAAGACTTATGAAAGCCACATCTAGTTATGTTGGCCAAATTCATGATATTCATGTCATAACTCATCTGTCTTCCATCTGAAACAAGCCAGCACCTCATTCCCCAAAGGGCATCAACATCTGGCTTCACGGTGGCCAACGTCTCCTGTTCTCTGCTATGGCTAACATCGTCTACTGACAAACAAGGCCCGCACAGGCACTTCAGATAGGCTTTTAATTCCAGCAAAGCCAACCTGGAGTGTTCTTTCAGTTATCCAGCTGTATGGTGGAGAGTACTCCAGGCTGGACTGCGGCCTCCACAGTGGCATAAGATCACTGCACTGCACACCCGGAAAAAAAAGCCTCAGATAAGCTACTCCATGTAGAGTGAATACAGCAGCTACATTTATTCTAGTGTGAGAACTGTACCTGAGGATTATTCACAGGCATGAGACCATATGGCACAGAATGGGCTGTGGCCTTATTATCAGAATCTTTCAGACTGCACAAAAGGGTGACTCTATCCAAACTGCCTACTAGGAACGGCCCCTATCCCATGCAAGATCCCAATAGTGGCTGGAAGTTGTTTGGGAGAGGACTAATTGGGCTGGAGCTTATACCTACACCATACTGCTTGGGTTGTTTAACTGTTTCAACAGGTAAACAGTACAATCCACTTCCAGTGCCATGCCTGCATCCTGCTGCTACTTAATTTACTAGCATAGCTGCAGCCACCAGAAACAACCCTCCACACCACTTCTGCCCAATCTGGTTCCGCTGCTGCCAGAGGGCCTGACTCCAGGATTGGGGGAAAAAAATCATGCACTATCATTTGCACATACATAGCTCAGAATAAATATTAACACAGCACTAGCTAGAGTAGCTAAGCATGCCCAGCAAAAAAATGCTTTTTTTTTCTCTCATGCTCCACATCTTCCTATACCCTCATGACAAAACACCTCCCTTCCACACATGCAAAACATAATAGTCCCTCCTCTCCACACGCAACATAAGAATCCTACTCCTTTCCTACAAACATAGAAAACACATTGCAAAAGGAACCATGGCATTTCCACACAGGGGGACTGATCGGAGGAAGACTGTGTGCACAGCCTGGAACGGATGCCTGTCTATCCAATGTTCCTCAGGAAACACTTACGCACTAGTCACTGCTGTGACTGTAGTACAATTGCTTGCCAGCAAGCCAAGCTGTAATATAGTTGATTGCTATGCAACAGTGTTATTCAGCCGGAGACAGATGGTCAAAGAGCGGGGCAGGAGAGAGTGTTGTTTGAAAGGACTGCTATCCCTCTGTTAGGAGATGGTGGGAGAAATGGCAGGGTGGTTTTAAAAGACTCCCCTGGCGAACAGGTGGCACATCCTTGAAGCGCATGTTTCCCTACCTGCCAAAGCTGCCCTCACCACCCACGTCCCCTTTGCTGAAAGTATATTCATAGCAAGACAAACCACCTGAGAGCTACACCTCTACACCAGAGGCTGAGCTTCAGCGGAGCATCCCGCAGACCGCTGTGGTGATGGTGTTGCCAGGTTGGCAGTGGGCTGACTGATGCACCAGCTGTCCCACATCCCTTACCTGCCTCCTCGGCTCTTGGCCGCTTCAGACGTGGGGCCCCAGCCCAGTCCCGAAACTCGTCGGTGCTCTGTGACGCTCTGAGGGACAAAATCCAGCCACAGCTCAGCACGTGGGAGCACGTGTGCTGAGCTGCACCAGGCTGAGTGGCCCTGTGGGACTTCATACCTATACCATACCTCGCTTTTTGGACTCCAGGCAACACCGCACCGCAACACCAGAGCTGGGCCGCAGGGCCGCCCCCTGCACCACTGACAGGACACCGG